TTGAAATTAAAAAAAAACTAGTATAAGAAACTACCTTACAAACAATGAATGCTTCAAGATTAATACATATATTTTAAAATTATAATATATAAATTTAATATTAATACTAATATAGTAAATGATTAAAAAAATAAGAACACAAAAGGCTAAAGTTGAGGTCTTTTTAAGTACGTGTTTGATACGTAGACATGATTGAACAAGACATTGAATATAGATGGCAAGAGGAAATGGTTGGACAAGACTAGACTGGACAAGTTGTTTATCTGATATTTGGTAGAACTAAGGTTGGATAAGACAAAACTAGACAAGTTGTCCTAAAAATTGTTTGATGATTTTATATTATGTAATTATAAATTACATAAATCAAGTAAATATTTAAATAATTTATTTTATAAACAGTCTTACACAACTTTCATATACATAAATACATACATACACGATAGGTACAAATTTGAAAGAAGAATTTAATACAATAGATGGTAGTTCGAAAAACTCTGGTTAGTAGTTTATAAACTACGTTTATTCGATTTGGAAGATCCTTATGAACTGATAGATGCACGATAGAGGTTGTTGCATGGTGGGGCTAGAAGCGGTGTCGATTGGTTGACGATGGTGACTATGGAGGATGAAGATAACGAATAGTGGTAAAGGAGGTAGTTTGTGGCTGATGTGGTGGATGAGGAGGTGGTGTTCGGCGGTGGTAGTGCTAGCTGGTAATGGTGGTGGTGGTGGAGAAGGATGATTGTAGAGGTGTAAAAATGGTGGACATGGGGCGAGGCAGATGTTGAAATGACAATGATGCTAGAAGTAGAGACAATGGTGATGGTGGTAGCCGAAGATGGTGGATAAAGTAGTTATGGTCGACATGCTGAAGGTAGAAGTGGTGGTGGGTGGTAGCACTAATATTAAATATCAATCCATTCTCATGTTCCGGCGTCTCTTTTTTATATTTAATCTATATTTTAATTTAAATACAATTTAATAAAATTAATTAATTATCAACTCCTACTTACACAAATTACATCATCAACTTCAAGCAGATTTAATCGAATATATTTAAAAACAGTTTACAGTAGTTTTTATTATATAAACTATGGACCGGTCCATTATTGAGAGTGAAAGGTTTATGAAATGTGTAGGAAAGAGAAAACTGGCGTGTCAGAGAAAGAAATATGATGTGGTAAAATCATGAACCTCTTAAGAGGTTTATGAGAGTGGATGCTCTAAGGACATCTTGAATCCGTCACTATAAACATTAAAAACACAAAAATTGTGAATAATTTTGTTATAATTTTAATTAATTGAAATTTAAATATACGTATATAAAGCATTTATATAATAATGAAATATTTGATAAATTAAAATTGCTTTAAATGAATTGTGTTAAGATCAAATATCAATATTTAATAATCATAGAATATTTTAAGTTTTAGGTGGAGTTTGTTTTTTAAAAGTTGATGAAGTCTAAAGTTTTATTTCACTTCTGATTAATAAGAGGTCATGTTGAAATCTGAAATCTGAATCAGTAAGACTGTTTGTTTTTATAAGTTGATAATGTCTGAATTTGTTTAAATTGTGTATTTTACTAATTAAAAAATTATAATGTTGAATTTATAGATAAATTTATACAATTTCACATATTTATTCATCATTATTACGAAATTTATATTTAAATTATATAATTAACATTAATTTTAACGAAAATATGCCATTAACAGTATTTAACACATTTAAATCCTATTAAAATACACCAATTGAGATATGTGAGGATCGATTTGGTAATGATCAATTGAGAGAAATGATCGATTAAATATAAGTGTCTCTGAAAAATTAAAAAAAATAAACAGTTTAAATAACTCTACCTCTTAACGAATCAGACATAAAAGACTAATTAATAAAAACTTATTTTTTTCAAAAAGCAAACAAGGCCTAGTGAAATAGTAAATAACAAATGAATATGTTTATTTAATATTAAAATATGTTTTTTTTAGTATGCAAGCAGTAATTAATAGAATTAAAAATAAAAAAATTGTTTAGTTTTATCTATACTATATTATAAAGTATTTGACAAAAACTCTTAAAATCATTTTTAATGTACAAAATATTGTTTATTGATGTATATTACTTAAAATTTAAGATTACAAGTAAATTATGCGTAAATACAACTTATTAAAGCTCCATATTTGAATTTGTATAATTAACTGCAAATAAATATAATCAAATAGAGAATAATAATCTCATTTTAAATATAAAAAATTTAAAATATAATTAAGATACTTAATAATTATTTTTATATAAAATTATATTATTAAGTAAAAATTAATAACTTTGTTATTAAACCTAAGTAAATTATAATAAAAAAATAAATTAAACCAAAAAAAAAGAATTATTAAATAGTTATTTCAAAACTAATATCAACATATTTTTTTTTAAATTTTTTTATGATATCTTCATATTTATATTTTATTCATAAATAAAGCCATTATTGTTTTCTCAAACCGTATTCTAAGACAAAAAAAATAAAACATTAAAATCAAGATGTATATTATTGTATTATGCAAGTACTCTTCTAATATAATATATATAATTCATTTTCTAAAAACTTAAAATTTCATTATAGCTTAAACTACAAAAATAAAATCCATTCTCATTTTTATTTTCTATCATTTTCTTTCCTTGTTTAAATAAAACCAAACAACCTACAAATCTTTCTTAATTTTCAATAGACAAGTATAATATAAAACTTTGTCTTTTTCTTTCTAAAATTTAAAACAGAAATAATTAAACCAACATTGGTTCTTTTTCGTGATGTGGAGCCGGCCTTATGTGAACTAAATTTATTAAAATATTTATTTTCATGCTTCATTTTAAATATTAATCATTTTCTTTTTAAATTTATCTATAAATCCGTAAAAATCCATGTCCGTAATTGCAGACTCAGCTACAAGACAAGAAAATTTACATTTTCTATCCTTTTTCGCAAAAAAAAAAAAAGAATTACATTTTTCATTCAAGTCTACAAAAAATTTACATTTCTTATCAAGAGCTGTAATTTTTTTTTACATTTTTCACTCAAGTCCGTAAAAAAAATTAAAATTACGAAGCTAAAACTAAGTTTTGGTAAACCTTATGAATAAGTAGCGAAAATATGAAACAACCGGTGAAAAATGATTATTTTAATTATTAATCATAAATGTGT